AGCACCCCCAGGCTCAGCACCCCCAGTCTCAGCACCCGCAGTCTCAATACCCCCAGTCTCAGTACCCTCAGGCTCAGTACCCCGCTCAGGACCAGAGTCAACAGCTACCTCGACAGGCTCAAATGCATCTACCTGGGAAACACCTGAGGGAGCAGGACCCTGGGGAGGGAGGGGGTCTACCGGAGGGGCACCTGGGGTGAGGAAGAGAGGCGAGGGAGGGAGCGGAGCAGTGCGGTAGGGGAACAGACGGTAAAAGGGTACCGACTCGTCAAAGATGACGTCCTGAGAGGGGAAGACACGGCGCGAGGTGGGGTGGTAAAACTGCCAACCAGGCGCGTCTGGGACAAAGCCAAGGAAGACACAAGGAACAGCGCGGGCGGAGAGCTTGTCCGCAGTGGTATCGCGGACAAAGGCACGAGCACCCCAGACCCGGAAACGCGACGCATCGCCAACCTGCCCCGTCCACAGCAGTGTGGGCGAGATCTCCGGAGCGGAGACACGGGGCCAGAGGTTGAGCTGATGCGCAGCGTACTGGACTGCAAACGGCCACAGGAAATGGGGGGCAGCCGCATGGATCAAGGAGGTACGAGCGATCTCCATGACCAAGCCAATGCGGCGCTCAGCAACCCCATTCTGCTGTGGAGAGGCCGGAAGCGTGAACGTCTGGCGGATGCCATGCTCCGCACAGTAGGCTGCCAAGAGGTCAGAGGAAAACTCACCACCTCGGTCAGAGTGCAGACGCAGGACGGGAAAGTCCGACTGGAACCGGTCGCGGAGCTGGAGACGAGCAGCGCGCATCCAAGGGATCAAAACATCAGGGACCTCACCCTTGGTGCGCAAGGGGAAGACCGTGGTGTAGCGCGTGTAGTCGTCGACAACCAGCAGGAAGTACCGCTAGTGGCCCTGTCCACGGGCGCGGGCTGGGCCCCACACGTCCAGGTGGAGAGTCTGCAGAGGAGCCTCTGTGGGAGGGAACGAGGAGGAGTGAGGAGCGGCGCGCTGCCGCCCCTCGACGCAGGGAAGACAGGGAGGAGCAGGCGAGGGCGGGAGGGGAGGGAGAACCCTGGGAAGACCAGAGACAAGGTACCGGGAGTGCATGCCACGAAGGCGCTGCACTGACGGGTGACCAAGACGGTGGTGCCAGAGAACCGTCTGGTGCGACAGGGAGCGACACGAGCAGGGGGCCGACAGCTGACCTGACGCAGACGCAGCTACCTGAGGGGACTCAGTGGTCAGTGTGTACAGGTCCGACCCCGGCCGCCGAGTGAAGGTAGCTAGGTGGCGACCTGTCCTAGCACACGTACAGTGGGTCACACGCTCATAGGCAGGGGTGAACTGGTGAACACCCCCATCCTGAAGAGCAGAGCCCGCCACCAAGTTCGTAGAGAACGAGGGGAGGTAAAGACCCGACAGGGTGCCGGACGGGACCGCAGGACAAGGGAGGAGTGGAGGAGGTCGCAATGACCGGGGCCCCAGAGGGGTCAGCGAGAGAGACAGCAACTGGCCGAGCTAGCTGCTCAAGGGCAGTGCGGTCACGGAAGAAGCAGCGGGAAGCACCCGAGTCGAGTGTGAAGGTGTGCAGTGCCTCAGTAGACGTAGTACCAGCAAGCGCAGACACACTAGCACCTGGGGGAGCAGACTCACTAGCACCAAGGGCAGCAGCCTCACCAGGACCTAGGGCAGCAGACGCACGCGTACCAAGAGCAGCAGCCTCACCAGGACCTAGGGCAGTAGACGCACTAGCACCTGGAGCAGCTGTCTCACTGGTCCCAATGCCAGGGTCTGGCGGTACACTCAGGTAACAGTCACCCTCAACACTAATAGTCAATGGATACATGGCACCAAGGATAGCATCAAAGTCAAGAGCAAAGATATCAATGTTCTTCCTAAGCAGATCAGCCCAGCGGGGCAGCTCAGTGGCGTCAGGAAACTGCTCACGCCAGGCGTCATCGAGACGAAAGAAGCAGCGCTGTGCCGTGTGGAACCTCCCACAGGTCTGGCCAGTGCGGTCACCTGTGCGGATGACGTACGGGCAGGTACCTCCACCCCGAGACCCCCCACGCTGAGAGTACCACTCACGGAGTTGCTGGGGCGAGGGAGTCTGCTGCTGCTGCCTCTGGCCACCGCCGAACCCCCCAAGCTGCACCGCTCCACCACGTCCGCCTCCCGCTCCACCGCCGCCACCACTGTCTCCACCGCCCCCACCGCCCCCACCACCCCCACCACCGCCACCGCCACCATCCCCTGTGCCGCCACTGACCCCCCCACCACCCGCGCCACTCCCACCTCCGCCACCACCCCCGCCCCTCCCACCCCCTCCACTGCCGCCGCCCCCTCCTCCACCTCCACCACCCCTGCCCCCCTTGCCCCTGCCGCCCTTGCGTCTCCCACCAGGAGCAGACGCGGCCCCGACCCCCTCAGCTCCGAGGTAGCCGACAGCAGCAGCAGATGCAATGGAGGGGAGGAGGGGGGAGGGGGAGCACCCCTCAAAGAAGGGGGTGCGGGGGTCACCACGAGAGGCACCTACAGCTACAATGCTCTTCTCAACTGCTAGGAGTTCTTTCTCGAGGAGGTCGACAGTGAGGTCAGTGGGGGAGAGGGCGAGGAACTGGTCCCTGACAGTGCGAAGGGAGTCAGGGAGGCGGGTGACGAGGTGGTACAGTGTGAGGTACATCGGGGGGGGGTTCTTGGCAAGGAAATCGGGGGGAAGCGCGGCACGGTAGCGGAGGTCACTGGTACGGAGGTGGGTGATGAGGTCAGCTACAGTGGCAAACGCGGACAGGTCGGGGAAGAGATAGGGCAGTGAGAGACGGCCTATAGCAGCAGTGGCAGGGGAGGAGTAGCGTGCGACTACTGCGTCGTACAGTTCCTTAGCGGTCTTATGCTGGCCGAAGTGCTCGCGTTCATCTAGCGGTAGGTGGCTGCGAACGACTAGGCGAGCGTGAGCATCACGGGTCTGCCACTGGGAGCGAGCAGTGCTGTCAACAGTAGGGGGAGGTGCGGGAGCAGCGCCGGACGTGTGGTCATAGAGGGAAACATCGTCCTTGGCAGTGATCTGAAGGAACAGGTGGAGGTCATCTAGCCAAACCTCAAACTTAATCGGGCGGCCCTCAGCGTCAAAGGTGAGAACAGAGGGAGTGGCCATAGTGGCAGCAGTAGCAGCAGGAACAGTAGCAGTAGTACAGTAGGAACAGGAACAGGAGTTACTGCCGGTGGGGCACAGTAGGGTGGCGCGGCTCGGCTAGGGCGGCGCGGCTCGGTTCGGGCGGCGCGGCTCGGTTCGGGCGGCGCGGCTCGGTTCGGGCGACGCGGCTCGGCTCGGGCTGGGCTACGCAGCTGTGCGCAACGGGGGGGGGCGTGCGCGTGGGCGGCAGTAGCGGGCGGGCCGTGGCTCTGCGTGGGCCTGACTAGCGCGCGGGCGACGGCCGAAAAAGGGGGGGGGGGGGGCGGGGCGTCGCGGCGGCCTACGGGCGGCTGCGTCGTCCGGGGCAGCTGTCGACGGGCGGCTAAGGGGGCTGCTCGCGGGCGGCGCAGGTCGCGCGGGCGGCTAGGGGTCGGCGCACGGGCGGCTAGTGGGTCGCGCGCTAAAAAAAAAAGGCCGCGCGCGGCACTAGCGAGCTGCGCACGAGCAGCAGGAGGAAGAGGGGCGCACGAGGGCGCTCTAGGAGAGGGGCGCTCGAGGGCGCTAAATCGATGCAGCGCTCGAGGGCGCTTCTAGTGGTGGGCCCTTAGGTAAGCGGTCCTAGGACTAGGACCTAAGCTCTTAATACCATGTCAGAATCAAGAAGTGGTTGAACTATGAAAAGATTGGAGTACAAGTAGGAAACCCTAGAATTGTGTACCCCCTAAAGGCTAACCCACTATAGCCTACATAACAATAACATATAGATAATGTTTGACACGCTCCTCCTCCGTTTCCCTCTCCTCCTGCGAGGCTGAGCTCTACGCTGGCACCATGGCCGCCCAAGAGTCCCGCTGGCTCTGCTTTCTTCTTGCTGAGCTTGGCGCCCCTCAGCCCTGCCCCACCCTCTGGTGTGACAACGCCAGCACCATCCACCTCACTCAGGACCCTGTCTACCACGCCCGCTCCAAGCACATAGAACTCCGCTACTTCTTCATCCGCGAGCTCGTCCAACGCGGCTTTCTTGCTGTCCGCAAGATTGCTGCTGAGGCCAACTTGGCCGACATCTTCACCAAGGCTCTCCTTCGCCCTGCGCACTCTGCTCTCCTCCGTCTCATCGGTCTTGCTCGCCCGGGCGCCCCCTGATTCAGGGGTTGCTCCCTTCCTGTGTTAGCCTGCTAAGGGGTTGTGTTAGAATTGCCATATTCTAGCATGCTAACACTTGTGACTGTACACCAATTGTGGTGTACAGTTGGGTTGGGACTACACCCAACTTTGGGTGTAGTCTTGCATTTTGGGGTGCCAATCCAACCCAATTGTGGTGGAGCCCCCAAATGCAACCCATTGGGCCATAGGTTGGCCCACTCTCACAAAGTGAGGCCAACCCAACCCAATGGGCCATAGGTTGGCCCACTCTCACAAAGTGAGGCCAACCCAACCCATTGGGCCATAGGTTGGCCCAATCCCCCAAGTGTGGCCAACCCAACCCAATGGGCCATAGGTTGGCCCACTTCCCCATTCCCACCTCCCTCCTTTCCCTTCCAACCTTCTCTTCCAAAGCTACGTATGGTTGTTAATTCTCTAATCAAGGCAATGCTTGAGTTTCCTTTTTTCACACAGCCTCCCTCCCCATCCGCTCCCCTTTCCCCCCCCTCCCTTTTCCTCTCCCCTGCCCTCCCTCCTGGCCCATTTCCTTTCCAACACTCCCCTGTGCACACACAAACTAACTCTAGCACTCCATCCCTCCCTTCCCCCCAATCCCCTTCCCCCTCCACCCCCTCCCTCCCACCCTCCCACTTCCCGCTTCTCACACCTCCCCGCTTCCCGCTTCCCCACCCACCATCCCCTTGCCCCTAAACGCGCACAAAAGGTTACCCGCCTGGCTGAAGGGCGAGCTTGGTGGAAATGATGCCGCGCGGTGAGCTGGAGGCGAGGGCTAGAGGCACGTGCGCTGCCGTGAGGTGCGAGAGCAGGCGCTGGGCCCCTGGCAAGGGCTTGGCCTGGTGCCACCTGAGCACGGGGGAGGAGAAGGGGAGGGAGAGGAGGGGAGAGGGGGAGAAGCGGGGGGGGAAGAGGGGGGGAAGTGGGGGAGATCGGGGGGAAAGGGGGGGGGACAGGGCAGGAGAGTGGGGAGAGAGGAGGGGGAGCGGGGCGGGAGAGTGGGGGAGAGGGGCAGAGCGGGTGAGTGGGGGGAGAGGGGGAGGAGCAGGGTGAGAGAGGTAGCAAAACAGAAGGGAAATCGGAAAATGATCGAAGAGGGTAAAAGCTGAAAGCGGAGGGCAAAAGCGGGGGAACGGAAGTGAGACGAACAGGGCAAAAAAGAAAGAGAGGGGAAGAGACGGCAAAGCGATGAGGAGGCAAAGGAAGGAGGAGGCGGGGAGGAGGGAAGGGGGGGCGGAGGGAGGGGGGGGAGGGGGAGAAGAGGGGGGGCGCGGGGGGGGGGAGAGTGGGGGAGATTGGGGGGGAGGGGGAGGAGCAGGGCTGGGAGAGGCATTCAAGCAGGAGAAGAGAAGTGGAATAAAAACATGCTCGAACACAGGGGGGAAGCGGAAAGTGGAGGAAAAGCGGGGGAAATGAATTGAGAAAAAACAGGGCAAATGCGAAAAGAGAGGGGAAGGGGGGCCAAAGGACGAAGGGGCAAAGGGAGGGAGGATGAGGGAAAAGGGAGGGGGGATGAGGGCGAAGGCAGGCAGGAAGGGGCGAGGGGGGACATGCGTTAGAACAGCTTCAGACAATCCACGTTCCAACCGCCTCCCATCCTCTCCCCTCTCCCTCACTTCACTGCCCTCTCTTCTCCTCCCTCCCCTTTCCTCCCTACCCTCGCCACAAATGCACCCCATTCCCTTCACCTCCCCTCCCCTCCCATCCCTGCTTCCCTCTCCCCTCCCCATTACCCCTTTATCACCCCTTCTCTGCTTTTCCCTCTCCCCTCTCACCTCTTCCCTCTCCCCTCTCCCCCCCGCTCTCCTCTCCCTTCTCCCCTTCCCACCTCCTTTCCCCTCCCAGCCCAGCTCCGCCTCCCCCCCCACCCCACCTGCCCTGAAGCCTCTCTAGTAGCGTCTGCAGGAACCCCTCAGGGGAGCACGGCAGCCCATACAGCTGCACCAGCGCCCTCGCCCCCTCTATAGGCAATCTCCCCACGCACTGCTCCGCGCCCTCCCCTGTCCACGCCTTGCCATGCCCCTCCACCATCTCCCTTGACACCTCCGTCACCACTCTCTCTGAGACGGAGGGTGGGGGGGAGATACGGGGGGGGGGGGAGGGGGGGGGGGAGGATGGGGGGGAGATATGGGGGGGAGATATGGGGGGGGGGGAGAATGGGGGGGGGATGGGGGAAGACTGCGGGAAAGATGAGAGAAGAATGGGGGGAGGATGGGCGAGGATGGGAGAAGGATGAGGGAAGGATGGTCGCCCTCACCCCCTCCATAGGCAGCCTCCCCACGCACTGGTCCGCGCCCTCCCCCGTCCACGCCTTGCCATGCCCCTCCACCACCTCCCTTGACACCTCCGTCACCACTCTCTCTGAGAGACGGATGAGGGGAGGGAGGAGGGAGAGGGGGCAGGGAGGGAGGGGGGGAGGGGGAGGGGGAGGGGGGGAGGGGAAAAGGGGGGAATGGGGGGAGGGGGAAGGGGGGAAGGGGGGAATAGGGGGAGTGGGGGAGGGGGGAGGGGGGAATGGGGGGAGGGGGGGGAGGGGGGAAGCGGAGGATGGGATGCGGGATCCGGAAGGCAGATGTTGCGTCTTTTAGTGGACCACATTCGGGAGGCAGATGTAGTGTACCGACCGCATCCTCTCACATTCGTCCCCGCATCCCATTCGTCCCAGATGTATGTAGTGGACCGCATTCGGGACTCGGTTCATGGATTGAGTTGGCTAGGGTGCGACGTGCGTTGAGTTGGTTGGTAGGTGCGCTGCCGCATTGACAGGACTGCATTGAACGGCTCGGGTCGGGTACTTCCCGTCCTGAATCAGGATAGAGACGCAGCATGATACCCTACCATACGACCTCAAGGGACCGCGCTTCTCTCCCACTTTACATACCCGTATGGGAGGGAGGGAAAGGAAGATTTGTGATTTGCCCCTCGCTTCTCTCCCACTTTCAACCACACACGCCCTCTTTCCCTTGCCAAATCCTCCTCGCATCCTCCTGCCATCCACCTTCCCATCCTCCCCCCCCCTCCCCGCTCCTCCCTACCCCCTCCCGCCTTCCTCCTCCCCCCTTCCCCCTTCCGCGATCCGCCTCCGCCTCCCTCTCGCAACCAGACTTCACCGTTCAACTCACTCACCCAGTCGATCAGCGTCATTCATGACAATTGACTCGACAAATAAAGTGCGAATGTAAAAGAATGTCATTCGGAAACCCTATCCTTCGCAATGTGACACCCAACTCACGCAAGTCACGCGGCGTGGCGACATGTAACTCTGACCGCCCTTCTCGCAAAGTGATGAGTCGATTAGGGTGATGCCTATTGAGTCGCCCCACAAAATGCGACGCAGCCGTGATTTGAAGTAAACTGATAAAAAAAGAAAAAACGAAAGCTATTTTCATTATTACTATTTTCAAAGGAGAAAAATCTCCCCCCCCCCCGCGCCCCCCCCCCCACCCCCACCCGCTTTACCGTTGCACTCACCAGAGTCGATAAGCGTGCCGTCTAGGTCGAATACCACGTGGGTGATTCGTGCTCGCACGGCCGGGAAGGGCGGCAGGCGAGGCGCTGCCAGCGGCGCTCCTGACGCCGTAACGCACGCTACAGGCGCATCTTCATTGGCCGAGACCGCTGCCGCAGAGTCCGTGTCGCCCATGCAATTTCACTTCGGGCGGATCAAAACTAGGAGGCGACGGATGCCCTAGTTCCTGCATGAAATGTGGTCTGGCAAAGCAGGTTTGTTTTCGAAACTGGGTTCGGGTGCAGGTTGGTTGGGGCAAGAGCCGTGATTGGCCGGCGAGAGCCGAAAACAACTGCGACGAGGGAATTAGTTGAGCCACAGAGAATCTGTTACGAGTGCAATGGAAAGAGGATTGCACTAAGGGGTCAAAATATGTAGAAGTTAAAACTCTAACCGCTTTGAACCATGGCGACATGTCTCTCAACTATATCCTACCGTGTACAACCTCTCTAAAAGGCCGAACTTTGGCCACAGTTCGACCCCGAGGACACACGCCCTAAGGATTGTTTTTTTGGGTTGCGAAACAACCCTTTACGATTGATTTTGCCAAATTTTATTTTCATATTTATTTTCATATATTTTTTTATAAAATATGAAAATAAATTTCGTAAACTACAGTACCCTTCCCAAACTGTTGAGTAGTTTTGAATACTGTTCACAGTATATTAAACCATGTGACTGACGATGTTCGCCCTGAAAATCCACATGCCACTGACGATGTTCGCCCCAGGTGGGGGAACGTCGTCGACGTAGGTGCCTGTGGACGTCCAGGAAGCCATCTCTGCGTCCATGGCTGACTGCCACTGAGAGGAGTAGGGACCCTCTATCGCCTCTGCGTAAGAGCGCGGGGTCAGGATGTCTGGTGCATCCGGGTCTCCCTTAGAGGCAACTAGCATGGACACGAGATGGGGTAAAGCAGCAGCAAAACACTGGAACTCCTCCTGCCTGTCCTCAAGGACGTCCGTGCTAAGAGCACACTCACCCCCAACGGACGGAGGACAGACAGACTCAGACTCAGCAACAAGACTAGCGGCGTAGTCTAGACGACAGTGAGCAGCGAAGTCAACAAGCTCAGCAACTAAGGCAGACGCAGCAGTGGACTCAAAGGAAGGGTCAGTGACAACAGTGGCCAGGAGACGTGTGACAGTAGGACTGGCAGCACGAAGGGAGTCAGACTCCGGGTCAGCAAGAGCAAGAAGAGAGGACTCTGGAGGAGACGGCAAAGGGACGCGCTGCGGAGCAGTGGAAGGACGCAGTGCCATCTGATGCGTGCCCGGGACCGCAGGAGGACGCTGACGTGGAACACGACGACTAGTGCGAGCAGCACGAACAGGTGACGCAGGACGCGACCCAGGCTCACGACGCTCAGCAAGACCTCCAGTAGGACCAGCGTAGGGAGAAGGAGCAGGCAGTGGGGAGGCCAGCTGTAACTGTGACTCGGACTGGACAGGCGGTGGACACTCTAAGGAAGGAGTAGGACCAGAAGAAGGTGGAAGACCAAGAACCTGCTCAAGGAGCGGAACGAAGTACGGCCGCGGCCGCGCAGCGCCTCCAGAACCAGCAGAGACAGCACCAGCACCCCCAGCGCCAGCTCCAACACCAGCAGCACCACCAGCACCAGCAGCACCTCCAGCAGCTCCAGTAGCGCCAACTCTAGCACCCACAGGAGCACCGGCTCCAGCAACACCTCCAGCTCCAGTACCTCCAGCAGCTCCAGCTCCAGTAGGACCACCGGAAGACTCAGCAGCTCCGGCTCCAGTACCTCCAGGAGCACCTACGCTAGCAGCACCGCCAGCTCCAGCTCCGCCAGTAGCTCCAGCACCAGTAGCACCACCAGGCCCAGCAGCTCCAGTACCTCCAGTACGAGCACCTCCGGGACCCGTGGCTCCAGCACCCCCAGCAGCGGTAGAACCTCCAGCACCGGCAGCACCACCAGCTCCAGCAGCCCGGCTCCAGCGCCGAGAAAACCACTCGCGCAACTCCTGTGGAGAGGGTAGCTCCCTCCAGGACGAAGCACCCGAAGGACCTCCAGGTCCAGCACCGGCAGGTTCCGCACCCCCACATTCAGCAACCCCAGGCTCAGCAACCCAAGACCCAGCACCCCCAGGCTCCGCACGCTCAGGCTCAGCACCCCCAGACCCAGCACCCCCAGGCTCCGCATGCTCAGGCTCAGCACCCACAGACCCGGCACCCGCAGGCTCAGCACCCCTAGAAGCACCAGCGTCAACAGCTACCTCGACAGGCTCGACTGCGTCTACCTAGGACACACCTGAGGGGGCAGGACCCTGAGGGGGGAGGGGGTCTACCGGGGGGGGACCGGGCGTGAGGAAGAGCGGCGGGGGGGGGAGGGGGGCAGCGCGGTAGGGGAAGAGACGGTAGTACGGAACCGACTCCTCAAACGTGACGTCCTGGGAGGACAGAACACGGCGCGAGGTAGGGTGGTAAAACTGCCAACCAGGCGCGTCAGGGGGGAAGCCAAGGAAGACGCAAGGAACAGCACGGGAGGACAGCTTGTCCGCAGACAAGTTACGGACGAAAGCTCGAGATCCCCAGACACGGAACGCAGACGCATCGCCAACCTTCCTCGTCCACCGCAGAGTAGGGGAGGTCTCCGGCATGGAGACCCGGGGCTGAAGGTTGATCTCATGCGCCGCGTACTGAACCGCGAACGGCCACAGAAAATGGGGAGCAGCCGCATGGATCATGGACGTACGAGCGACGTCCATGACCATGCCAATGCGGCGCTCAGCAATCCCATTTTGCTGTGGAGAGGCCGGAAGCGTGAACGTCTGGCGGATGCCCTCCGCACGACAGAAGGCTCGCAGAAGGTCGGAGGAAAACTCTCCACCTCTGTCGGAGTGCAGACGCAGAACAGGAAAGTCCGAGCCGAAACGCTCTCTGAGCTGGAGACGAGCAACGCGGATCCAGTCGATCAACACCTCAGTGACCTCATCCTTGCGGCACAAGGGGAAGACTGAGGTGTAATGCGAGAAGTCATCAACCACCAGCAAGAAGTAACGCTCGTGACCCTGTCCACGGACGCGGGCTGGGCCCCACACGTCCATGTGAAGAGTCTGCAGCGGAGCCTCTGTCGGAGGAAACTCGGAAGAGTGAGGAGCGGCGCGCTGCCGCCCCTCAACGCAGGGAACGCAGGTAGGGGCAGGCCCCGGGGGAAGGGGAGGGAGGGACCGGGGGAGACCAGAGACAAGGACACGGGAGGCCATGCCTCGGAGACGAGGCAAGGAGGGGTGACCAAGGCGGTGGTGCCAGAGGAGGGTCTGGTGGGACAGGAGGCGACACGAGCAGGGGACAAACTCAGGACCTGACCGAGACGCTGCAGCAAACACCTGACTCGACGCAACTACCTGACCAGACGCAGCAACCGGAGGAGACTCTGTGGTCAGTGTGTACAGGCTCGACCCCGGCCGACGGGTAAACGTGGCCAAGTGGCGGCCCGTCCGAGCACACGTGCAGTGGGTCACTTGCTGACTCGCAGGAGTGAACTGGTCAACCCCTCCATCCTGAAGGTCAGCACCACTCACCAAGTTCGTAGAGAACGAGGGGAGGTAGAGACCGGACAGGGAGCCTGACGGGGCTGCGGTAGGACAGTGGAGTAGTGGGCAAGGACAGGACCCCCAGAGGGGTCTGCCAGGGAGACCGCAACCGGCCGACTGAGCGGCGTGAGGGTGGTGCGGTCTCGAAAGAAGGAGCGGGAAGCACCCGAGTCGAGGGTGAAGGTGTGCAAAACCTGAGCCGACGCGGTACCTGAGAGAGCAGACTCACCAGCACCTGGAGCAGCAGACTCACTAGCACCTAGAGCAGCAGCCTCAATGCCAGGGTCAGGTGGAACACACACGTAACAGTCACCCTCAACACTAATAGACACAGCATACATGGCAGCAAGGATAGCATCAAAATCAAGATCAAAGATAGCTACACCCGACCTGAACAGATCACCCCAGCGAGGGATCTCAGTGGCGTCAGGGAACTGGGTACGCCAGGCGTCTGTCAGGCGGCCGAAGCAGCGCTGGGTGGCGTGCAGGCCGCCACACTGCTCTCCAGTGCGGTCGCCGGTGCGCAGGACGTAGGCACAGGGACCAGCACCCCCAGACCCCTGGCGCCCTGCGTACCACTCACGAAGCTGCTGGGGCGACGGGGTCTCACGAGAGCGTGGCTGGTGCTGGGGTCCCCGCTGCACAGCTCCGCCTCGACCAGCTCCACCTCCGCCGCCGCCGCCTCCGCTGCCTCCACCCCAACCGCCACCGCCACCGCCGCCTCCACCTCCACCGCTGCCACCGAAGCCCCCACCTCTACCACCACCCCCAACCCCACGCCCTCCTCCGCCTCCACCGCCACTACCGCCTCCCCCGCCACCTCCTCCTGCGCCCTTGCTCCCCTTGCCCTTGCCGTTGCGGCGCCTCCCGCTAGGAGCAGACGCAGCGCTGACCGACTCGGTGCCAACAAGGTCGACAGCAGCAGCAGAGGCAACGGAGGGCAAAAGGGGAACGGGGGAGCACCCCTCAAAGAAAGGGGTACGGGGGTCACCACGAGAGGCTCCTACAGCGGTAATACTAGTCTCCGCTGCAAGGAGGCGCTCTTCGAGGAGGTCAGCGGTGAGAGTGGTGGGGCAAAGAGAGAGGAAGTGGTCCCTGACCGAGCGAAAGGTGTCAGGGAGTCGAGTGACTAGGTAGTAGAGGGTGATGTACATGGGGGGGGGGTTCTTGGCGCAGAACTCAGCAGGAAGCGCAGCGCGGTAGCGGGTGTCACTAGTGCGGAGGTGCGTAATGAGGTCAATGACTGTGGCAAAAGCGGCAAGGTCAGGGAACAGGTACGGCAGCATGAGGCGGCTAAGGGCAGCAGTGGCAGGGGAAGAGTAGCGTGCAACTACAGCGTCGTACAGAGTCTTAGCACTCTTGTACTGACTAAAGTGCGCGCGCTCAGTAGAAGGTAAGAACAGTGGGACTAGCCATGACAGTAGCAGCAGTAGGCTAGCAGCAGCAGCAGCAGTGTGACTCGGCTAAGCGGCGCGGCTAGGCAGGGCAGCGCGGCTCGGCAGGGCGGGGCGGCTCGGCGGTGCTCTTACCAGGGGCGGTTGGGTAGGTGGCCGCGACTGGTGGGGCAGGGCCGGGGCAGGG